GTCGAAACTACCCCTACATATGTATGGAATCCTTGCAGTTGTCAGCTCCTCGGCTAAAATATTCGTTTTGAGTTGGAGACCTCTTTACTAGTTCCATCTGTTTATTTGTTAATGCATAATGGCATCCCATGTGTATCATTTCATCAATTTGCAAAAAAAACAAAGAAGGTTTTAATTGCGGTATTCAGCATTGCAGCTCATGTGTAGCTTGTCAGTCGTGTTCACCGAATAGAACACTATAAAATTAGGTCGCCATAATTTTTAAAATGCATTAATAACTGAGAATATTAATAATAAATGCGATTCGATGCTGAAGATGCCAGGGACCTATAGAGAACCCTAAACGGTTCAATGAGGAGTAAAGATTTAAGAATGGTTATTATTTTTGTCTACTCAAGAATTACATATAGGCTCCTACATGTGAAAGAAGGGACGACTATCGACTTAGGACCAAATAAAAAGCCGAAACTTGTTTGTTGGAAAGCTTTAAATTTTGCTTTTTTGATGTTTTGATAAAGGGAAGAACATGAACGCTTAAGACTCCTAAAACGCCAACAAGTCACTTTAAGGATAAGAATGACAGTGTACAGGGTCGGTGTCTATACACCTCGGTGATAATACTGTGGACCCTGTGTGACTATTTTTTTGCACAACATGGGGATTCGTGTCACATTTTAAGCAGTATGATCAGGCAGCAACAATCTTTTAGCGTAGCTAGAGGATGAAGCCAGTGTCGGCATTTAGCAGCAACCTAGCTTCAAGAAGTAGTAAGTAGCAATTAGCTAACGAAGGCACTATCAAACGAATGTTAATAAAAAAGTCTGAACCTAATGGTACGTCGTGTTCTCTTGTGATAGCCCAGTTTTGGCTGAAATCACAAGCCAAAGCATATCCATTGGCGATAAAAGCACTGTGAAATCGATGCCAAACATTGTTAATTAGCAAAGCGGGGAACTGGAACTGGGAGCCAAAATGGACTTAACTTTTCAATGGCAACTTAGAAAATCAAAGAATAATTTTAAAGATAAGTTTATGCGACTACGGTTGATTATCCTTTAAACATGTTTAATCACGAAAGTAGAACCTTATAAATGCTGGAAAGCTTTAAAATTAACAGTGTAGGCAGCAATTAAGCGTTAATAAAGTCCGCTCCGAGTTCAACACTTCAAGAGCAGGTAAAAGTGAGGAGCAGCAATGATACAGAGTTTATGTTAATTTTTCGGTCTTACTAATTGTGGATGTATTCTGAAATGCCCTGCGATGTTAACAAATATTAACAGATGTAAGCAAGATTGTCATTAAAGGGTGTTTACTACTCTTGTACCTTTCTGTGACACACTTAAAGCCCTTAGCTAACACATTGTTTAAGGTAAGTGCCATTGCCTAAAATTTGGTTTGGCTAAAGCTGTTAGATTAATGAGGCTGGAAGAAGTTAAAGAACATTATGCAAATGAAATTAACAAAAAAGAGGTTTCGCAATGACTTTAGCTTTCCTTAGTGCTGCCCCTCTGAATTAAAGCATTTACGTGACCTCTTATGTTTTCGTGAGGAGTACTGTCAGAGCACCTTTATGGGTCTGTCATAGGTACACCATAAATGCTCCAAAAAGAATATCCAATTCAAGCATCACTGAATCAACGTGTCAGTTATAACGTCACATTCCTGTATTAAAACAGAAACTTAAAAGAGCTACTGATTTTTTATTCCTGCCACTGATTTAGGCTGTTTAAACGGTTTTCCTCGCATGTTCTTTATTATTAGTAACAAGAGTGTATCTAAGGCGAGTTTTAAACAATAAATGTATGCGTTTCGTATTCTTACGCACTCTTTCCAACCTCTTTCCTTCTATTTTGGCTAGTATAAATCAACCATTTGGGATTTGTTTGGTGAAATAAATGTGGTGGATGATTACTTGACTGTCCATCTTTTAATCTGCGACCGCCTTTCTCTTCTTTATCGTATCTTTAGATGTCAAAAACGACCTTAAAATTTTCATTAAAAGTTTCACACAATTTCTAATGTTTACATCATGGGAGTGGAACTTCCTTTACGGTTTGCAAGAGCGAATACTACAAAACCAACAAAAAAAACTCACACTGTATTAAGGGTCCAAACTCAGTTAAGAATTCAAGACACTCCACTTCCATCGTGACTTACTATGGTTTCTACCAGTTTTGATATATTCCTCCCATTCCATGGATTTTTGAAGTCGTAGTTACCAAATTCTGTTAATCATGATTTTCCTTTTAACTAAATTCATCACAGCTAAAATGACAACAAACACACCGCCTTAGTACAAACTTACAAATTTGAGACTAGGCAACTGATAAAGTATTCCTTAGGCGTAAACTTCATGTCACCAGGATAAGTGCCGAATCTAAGATGGCTGAAGAAGTCTGAGCAGTCAAATGCCCTTTAGGCACGTAATTAGCTAATATTTTTCAGTGAAACATTTAAGCCTGAATCCCCTGGCTGCAAAGATTAATGCCGTACAAAATGGAGGCAGTTAAACTAAGGCTAAAAAGTTAAAGAAATCAAATACTCTTCTTAAACAAGTAGTTTTGATCGTGGAGATGTCTTTAGATCAGCCAGTAATTAATACAAACCAATTGAGATTTTTGCGTTCACGCGAGGCTTTGCTTTTTGCTCGTTCTGTGAACTGGTTTATCTAACTGGTTTCCCCTCTCCCTGCCCTTCCGCTATCCACCTCCTACCAATGTTCGTACTCACGCACACAACTTCTGATTTTACATCATAAAACCTTTGCCATCCCTTCTAACCTTTCCAATTAAGATACATCAATGAGAGGAGTATATATTTAAACTGTGGTAGGTAGGGTGGCGAGTGGTTAGGCGGGCGAGTAAACGAGCTGCAGCGGAGCGGAGAAGGATAAACGCCGCAATCGCGTGCATTCTCACAACTGCTACTGCTTATGTCAGGCCACCCAGTCATCTCCTTGGTAGAGAAGGAAACAAGGATGGGTAGAGTGCTACCTTACTCTACTCCAGTCCAATTCTCACCCCCTCACCTCATATGCCGCTTTCGAGAGGGCGTAAGGACTGCTGAGGAAAGATGTTGATGTGATTTTGGCGTGTTTGGTGTACGTGTGTAAGAATAGGATGATAAGAAGGGGGAGGAGCTAAAGGGGAAGAGGACACGGAGAAGGGGAGAGGAAAGAAAAGGAGATGAGCTATTTGCAGGTGCTTGTTTAATTGGCATCGCACGCGATCAGTAGTCCACAACCATCACCGCTATCACTATTACCATCCACCATCATCAATATTAGTACCGCCATGGAATTTTCTCTTTCGTGTAGCTGAGGTTTGCCTGATTAGGTTTAACCTAAAGACTGATTCCAAATTAATCCTGCAAATTGAGGCGATGGTTTAAGGAACGACTTCAAAGTTGGAATCATTGAAATGCTTTTGCCGAGAGGTCACTGGAAATCTCGAATATTAATCCAAATTGGGTCATTTACCATTTGATAACTAAACTATCCTCGAAATTTGATTTGAGCATAAAGCTTGTTAAAGCCAGCCAACGAGAAGTATTGGGATGTTTCGCAGAGGAATTTGCCTTTAAACGTGTCTAGGACCTCTAGTTTAGCACCAACCTCCTCTATTAGGCAGTTACGTTAGGAGATTCGTTATAGGAATAATAAAAAATAACAGAATGTAACACATTCCGATAAATCCCAAACTTAATCTCGCCTAATTTACACACTTGGTGCGACTTGTCACTTGCTACTTAATACGAGTCAGTTTAAAAGCGAGATTGGGCTGTAACTGAATGTCCAGTCACCTTAACTGCGCATTGAATTCGTTGGAGTTTTACTTACTTGATTTGGCTGACTCGTGACCTCATAGTACTTGAAAATAATTATCATTAATTCAATAAAAGCCAGAGAGTGTCAGTTTGCGATTTTGATGCTAGGTGGACAGCAGCAAAGAGGAAATATTACAATGAAGCCTCTTTGTAGGTCGCATAACGTCTATTTGCTAAAATTTAACGCTCTTTCAGTTTTTCCTCCTTTAGTATATATCTAGTACTTTCAATGTCCTACTGTTTTTGCACTGGATGGTGAAAGAATCCACTTTGTCAGAACTAGTATGGCGAGAATACTGAATAAACGATTGGTAATGAGCAAAGATCACTACGAATGACCGTAAAATGACAAATGGTGGAGTTCCCTTAATGTTAAAATTAAATTTTGCGCTGTCTCCACAATTTTTACAACATTAATGTATTTATCAAGCGGGCGGACTTTAATGATGTCAGAACTCTGGTTTCGCACAGAGAGTGGAAACAAACTAATGTGTGTACGGATTTTACACAAATGGCAGATTCTGAGCGCACTAATTTTGACAACTGTTGAAAGGCAATTAAATGGCTTTGTCAATATTCAAAAGGTCGAAAACCGATTAAACCTAATCTAGCTTTAAACAAAGTTTAATTGCAAAGAACAACAGGCAGATACTGCGTCCAAAAGGTCTTTCATGTACTCACGTTTTTACCATCTTATATGAAATTGGTGCAAATCAGTGAGCAAGTAAATCGTAAAGATTGTTAGTAACACAAAATAAGACGTAATTTTTTGTTACTTGTACTAATAATAACTCCTATGCATATGCTTTTAGTGGGTTACATCATCAGTATTCCCATTTTATGAGATTCTAGTTAAGTCGTTTCGATATCTCAACATAGCTAAGTGTCACCAACAAGTTTTACGAGAAGCTACTGATTGGATTCATAAGAAAAGTGGTAGGAAGCATTAACTTCGTACTAAAACTGATCGAACATCAAACGCTCCTTAGTATTTGCCTAAAGGTTTAGTGATTAATACAGTTTTACTTTGAGCATTCCTTATATCTTAGACTGAAATGGCATTTCTCTCTCTCTGGAAGTTTCTATTTATTTGACTAAAACATAAACTAGTTTGTTTCACCAGGCTGTCCATTTAAAAACACAAGGACAAACTACTGATAAAACTTAAGCAGCGTTTATTGAAAAGTCGTGGGAGAAGATGCCTTTTTGCTAAGATCGATTGGGATCTCGTCTTCGTTGGGGGATGAATAGGGTAACCACAATGTATTCTGATCAGTGACACGACTGCCGCCCACCGAATGGCTGCCACTGTTGCGAAATGACTGACGTTTGTTGCAGAACCACACACGGATTACCTCGCGATCGTAGTTTAACTGATTCGCAAGTTGGGATATTCTTGAACCTAAATAAGAAGGCGTATGCAGAAGAATGCCATTAAGGTTATGCCTACCTAAATTACACACCTACTAACTGTGACTTTAATGAGTCTCAAAGAAGTGATTGCGATTAGGAAACCCTAAAACTTAGTTTTAAGTGATTCATTAAGTATTCGAAATCATCTTAAACGATGTGGTCAGAGGGTACATTCAAATACAATTCATAATAATACCTTCGCATATCCACATCATTAAGCTATGCAGCAAGTAAAGTCGAACCTGATGGATGCATATTTATGTTAAATTCGTGATTGAGACGCTCCAACGCATTAGCCGAGAAATTTGTTCGACTTTTGCGCTTCCTAATGCCCGTACAGGACTCATCTGACTCGCAGTCGGCACGATAGGGTCCGCTCTCATCTAAACTGCCACTGACACTTCCACAGACACCGCTCCTATCCCCCAGAGTAGCTGATTGTGAGACTATCTGATCACCAGGACGGCGACCCTCCAACTCGGCGAGCCACCTCTCCAATACTGGTTTGATACGCTGGGCTGATTTTGGTGTGATGTCGAGCTTTTCAAATCTGAAAATAGTGCACTAGATTAAATAAAAAATAATCATGGAAGGCAATTTGCTCTGAAAGGATGAGCAAGGTAACAAATGATTTGGTGTGGTAGATGAGCACATTAATGATGAAATTAGTGGATCCTTGGATGGTTCAAAATTAAGTATATCAACGCATTTATTATCAGGCGTTGTCATTGCAGAGGTGGTACGTAAGACAAGCTTCAAATAGCTAACCGAATTAGCAGGCAGATAGAGAATGCAGCTAAATGAGTACATAAATGAAAGAATTAGTGTAGAAACAAATAATTTAAATTGTCTTTAACCACAAGTTAAATAGGTTTTAAATAAAGATGCATAAATTAAGAGTCAACTATCAAACCAGCTTGTTGAACCACCTTTAATACCCAAGTGGAAACTTGGAAATCGACGAGTTGATTCGCCACACCCCAACGCATTCATCATCTCATGAATACAATTGGCAAACAGCCAAAAACTTACCTACAAATAGCGCTTTGACTGTAAGCAGGTCCATCGCCAGCTGTCAATGCACGTCCAATTTGCGTCTGTGTGAGGCCCAAACTCAATCGCTTCATTTTGAAGACACGTGCAAATCGTCGAATATCTTCGATATGTTCATTGGTGTCGTTTTGGGCAGTAGCGCTGATTTTTTTACATTTTTTATTTCCATTACTGGCATTTTCATTTTCACTTCTTGGTATCCTATGCAAGCGCTTTGTCTTTTTTGAGATGGAAGCCTCTTCTGCAACATAGGAACGTTGAGCTAAAAGGCAACAGTGCTTTATTCCATAAATCAATGTTTCCGAGGGCTAGAATACATTATGAAAGATCTCATATTTCTATATTACGAGAGTATTTTCCTAACTTACTTCGCTTTGCCTCAAGTTCATTTGGAATTGGATAGATTCTTGACTGCTGAAGGAGGAATGGTAACGTAAAATCGACATTCTGTTCGAGCTGATTAAAGGATGAGGTAGGCGAACGAGGAGTATGCTCGTTAGATTCTCGGAGTAGTGGAATATCGACACCAGATGGAGAAAGGCATCTAAGAAGCATACTCAACGGAAGAGGAGGCAACAGTTGTGGTGGAGGCGGTGGTGGTGGTAGTGGTGAAAATGAAGGTATGTGAAAGGAGGAATCGCTGAGTGATGGAGGCCACATCACGAAGAAATATTCGAATTTATGTGCTGGGCAAAGATTATTGGGCAGAGTGTATAACGAAGATTTCGGGGTACCAAAAGACTTCGCATATGTCACTCTGTCGTCCACTCCTACTGTTAATCTCCTCCCAATGTGGGCTTAAATACTCCTCATCGAAGTATGAAAGCAGTTTACAGTGCCCCTCTCTCCCCCTTTACCCCTTTACGTGATTTATACACTCGCTCGTGCGAGGGTATGGCCGGAAAGTCGTTGCCATACGGCATTTTGCGGTAACATCGTTCAGACTTTAGTAAAGGCAGGAATGGGTGGCGGAAACCGAGAGAGAGAGGAGGGTGAGGGAGAATGGGTGAAACACCGCTTTCTGCTACTATCACGCGCGTATTCGACGGAACACGCAATACCTCTTACTCCTCCCCTCCTTCTCATCCTCCTCATACTCAGCACACAAAGTCTGTCCGGTAGTCAAATTTTGAATTAATCATGCATGTTGGAGCTTTCGAAGTTCTTAATGTTGCCTTTATTAAAGGAGACAATAAAAATAAGTAGCTTAAATCAGACAAGTCATCAACCATTACTTGGAATCTCCAAATACATACTTGTAAATCCTTTTTGATTAATTATAGAATCCGATTCGGTAACTGCTCAAAAGCACCATAACATGAGAAGATTACTCAGTTCTGCGGCACTTGATAATGTCAGATGTCTGGATACACAATTTGAATTCTAGTCTTCCGCCTCCAAAGTCTAGTACAAATTAATGGTAAGATGTCGTACATTGTGCCAACTGTTGATATCTGCTAAAATCATGTTAATCGTAGCTTAACCAAAATTAGGAAAACATGGTTTTTTTAATGTTTATATTGTTGAGTGGAGAGAATGGGTTGATACACCCGCATATTAATTCAAATAGTTGTGCATTGTATAAATTTATTCCATGTTTTATTTATCCCTTCGAGAAGTGATCTTGGTTCTCTTCTCGCCTCGATCAGTATTTAACATCCGCTATTGCAATGTACACCGTAGCACAAAAACAGACATCGTACCACCATTATTGATGCATCTCTCCAACAGATTGCCTCCAGGCTGTGGTTAGGTGATTTAAGAAACGCTAATTGCCCACAACGACAGTGTTGATTCCTTATATTGAGTAGTATAAATGTACATGCCTCAACGCAAAAATTATATTTTGGGCTATTGTTTTGCGACCATTTCTCAGACCCTCATGGTTGTGGATGATTGTCCATTTATCAGAGGCAATTCTAGGTTGGTGGAGTAGGTAGATTCATAGGAATTTGCCCCAGATTATTACCGCGTTGTCGCTTTAATTTTCAAACCCTTTCTTCAAAAGTGCACATTGGATAAGTAGCTATATCGGGCGTCAGATCTTGTCTCTCCTGCCAGAGATCTCCTGCACTCACCGACTCCTAAACCAACTTAGGTTTAACTTAGTCACATTAGTAGCGAAGACAATAATCTAATAGTAATGGAATTACAATCACCTCAATGAAAATTGAGGCCACCAAAACTCTGAGAATCTCCGTTTTGACTTATCCAGTCGTGCACACAGAAATGATGTCAAGAATGGAGACAAAGAAAACAACATATATAACCTTCATACCCCGTTTCCTTCAGTGGGGTATATTAGGTTCCATCTGTGACTTTATTATTGCAGACAAAAAAAGATTGCGGGAGTGAAGTCCCTCATTACTCCTGCAGCTTGCATTAGGAGATCACAATACCACAAAATCTTGCATAAGCAGTCAAGAAAGATGGGTAATAACTATTAAGCCTTTTTTAAATTAAAGCAAAGCGACACCCGTAAATTAATATTTCTTTTTGGATTTGAATGGTAAATCACCAGTTCACTTCTTTTAACTACGAGAGTATACATTTAAGTTTCCTAAATTCAGATGATCAAATCAAGGGCTAACTCGATCACTCCTACATTATTGTAGTTCCACTGCATTGAGCTTTATTCACTTTTCCAGTACCCCTAACCATCCACAAATTTTTGGCATTCCCGTTTTGCAACATGCACGGCGTGGCGAAGTTATATGCTCTTCCCGTTTGGAAGGAGCTGTGTCACTTGACCAATTTCGCTACTGCCGCTGTCGATCAAAAACGATGTAGAAGTCTGACAATAATCACTTAGACAATTTGAAGTTGACACCTACTCAAC